GTAGTGGAAATATCTGAAAATTAAGAGTATTGGAATTTCTAACAAGTTGAGTTTTTTTAGAAAATTCTAAATTTTCAAGTTATTTTTGAATTTTTAGGTAAATTGAATTTTGGATAATTGTAGTATCGTTTAATCTGCAATTACAAACATTCCATTTTCAGCAACAGTGGTGTTTGGCTGTAATGCATGTTGGTTAAATAAACCATCTATAAAGTGTATCTCTAGTACTCTCATATACCAGTACCTTCTTTTCTGTAGAGCTGTTTTTCTCTTGGCTCAGAGTTTATCCCTAATTGTAGAAATGTTTGATTTTTGTTTAGACATAAAATTTGGCAATTATTTTAAGTGTCTATCTGCTACTGTATTTATGAGTTAATAATCTGCTTTTGTGACATCATCAGTGGCTGGTAGGCTGCTTGCAGATGTGAAAAAACAGGTAGGCTGCTTGTGTATGGGGAAAAAAATCCAAAAAATGGTGCTTTACTTCAAAGTCGGCATGCTCCAAAACCAAGCCCAGCACGTTCCCAGAAAAGGCATTGCATTATTTGCACCTGGCTCTCCTAACTTCTGTATAAATTGGGTGCTTTAGTGTAGCTTTTTTGGCAGTTTCACGTAATAGCTGGTTGAATTGACTTTAGATAAAAACACGCAAAAGCCCCACTGAAGCACCCGATCTATACAGATGCTGCAGAGCCAGGTTAAAGTAACACACTGCTTCTTCTGGTAAAATGCTTGGTCCCCCCCCTCCCCCCCGCCATGTCTGTCAGCACCCATAGTATAAGAAGAAATGTGATTCTGAAGACAGAAGATGAAGATACAACTGTTAAGTGAAACAAGGAGCTATTAGGATAATAATCATAGAAAATTACAGAAAATATTTGTGAACAACGCTGTGCCTAAACATAATCTGTATTTTGGGGATATTTTAGTTTACTAGATGGTTAATACAGAAAGATAGTTCTTATTCGATGAGTTATGAGATTGTGACAAAAATAAACTCTAGATGTCTGAGAGATGTGTGAAATGCTGCTGAAGGAGGCAGCTGCTGATAGTTTTCAAGTTGTCTCGTCTCTCAGCAGCAACTCTGTCACACTACATAGACATATGGGTAGATTAACAGCAGTGCTTAGTGGAGTCCTATATAATTCCCCATTCGGTTTATAAGTGATAACTCAGTAAAACTCTAATTCTTCTAATTGCAAGGGAATAAGAAATTGAAACTTTAATACAATTTAGAGTTAAAAAGTTATATGGCTTAAAATTTTATATCTCCTCTGAGCAGAAACAAAGACTGCTTGCAGACGTTAAAAAAAATACAGAACCCCAAAACCTGTGCTTTACTGGAAGCAGCAGCATGTTATTTCAGCCCGGCTCTGCAGTGTCTGTAAAAAAAAAAAAAAGATCGGGTGCCAAAAAAGCCCCACTAAAGCACTTGGTCTTTTATAGACATCAGGCAAGCCAGGTTGAAGTAACGTGTTGCCTCTTCTGGGCATGCATGTGGGGCTCCATGTGGGAATGCACCAAGTTAAAATAAAGCACTGGGTTTTTTGTTTTTTGGGTGGGGAGGTACATCTGTAAGCACCCATTGATTAAGGCTGGCTCGTGCAGCAAGGAGAAATGGGGAAAGCGGATACAGACTTATTTCATTAAAAAAAACTTGAGTACTTTTCTGTTAACTCAGTAATGACCGTATTGTGGGATGGGAGTCTTTTAACTGTGATTATTAGCTGGGGTAATGATCTTGGTGACTATGGAAATAATACAGGAAGTTGCATTCACATGTAAACTAGATAACTGATTGGAAGGGAATAAATAATCATATAGACATCTCGTGGTCTGAGGCCTTGCACTTCACTACACTTAACAGCAACAAGATCTCTTCATAGGGAATTTTCTGCAAATTGGAATGGATTTTAAAATACAGATACAAGCTTCACATGTAAAAATAAACTTGACTAATGCTATTTACTAATGTCTTTCTACATTTAGATGCAGGATTGTTTAAAGACCTTTTCCAAGGATCTGTAGCTGAAGATAAACTTGGTGTTCTCGCTGAGCAGCAATTTAAGGAGTTAGTGCATGCTATGCAGTGTAAGTCTGCTTGCTTTCAAGTTTGCAAAAATTGGACCAAAATTTAATACAGTGAAAAACCCCAGTATACACTAAATGTTCAGTGGCAAATGTCTACTGAATTCCTCAAATAACACACATCGAACTTACTCTCTCAATCTCCTACTCTGAATATGTGTATGAGAGATGCTAAGTTCTTTCCTGATGATGATCCTTTCTGTATCACATGAGACGTATTTGGAATACAGAGTTCAGTTCCAGGTATCACATTACTAGAATACAAATTAGAGGCAGTTTGTAGAAGAAAAACAAAGATGATCAAAAGTGGAAAGAAAAATTAAAAGGACTAACTGTGTATAATTTGGCTAGTGAAGAAAGCAAAAACAAAGGCCCAAGTCCTGGCACCTACTTAAACTACTTATGCTATCCCATGATTTCTCAATGTGACACAGGGCCATCGTACCATTACTTTTTATTGCCACCCCTACTAGTCCCATTACACGAGACATGGACAAGAGTTGCCTGTGTCCCACTAATCATCAGCTGCAAGAACGCTGGCTGCTAGCCTACAGTAGAACGGCTTTGAGGCCACAGTTGTCATGTAGGGAGCTGGCCTGTTGCCTTTCATTGTGGCTGCAGGATTGGAGAAGGTTTAAAGGTGAATTGTCTTTGTTCCATTCCCTTCCCATAGCATAAATAAAAAGCCCCCCTTCTGAGCTGAGTGAATACAGCTCAAGACACAGTCCTTGAATCACTTTTCACTTTGCAAATATTTGACACAAAAGTAACTATTTAGTTAGGCATATATGGATATTACTGTATGCAATAGGGTGAAATTAAAAGATTTATCCTTGTATAGCCATAAATTTCTTGGCAAGTAGATTTAGAGATGCAAGTAACTCTGTTGGTTGAAAAATAAAAACAAGCTGGACAAACTACTAAAAATGTACTGTAAAACTGTCCCACATTGTGATGGAGAGATGGAAAAAATGACATAATATATTTTTCTGTGTCACTTTTACAATTTTAAGCAGTCTCTGAATATTAACTTATTGTTCAATGTTCCATCAACAGATATCTGGTAAATTCCCAATTATTTTCATAAAAGTTGTACATCTCTAGCTCTAGTTTTTTTAATTTGCTTTCTTTATTCCAAAAATGGTAATTTGGGATTTTTTTTTACTGTTTATAGTTAATAAAGTGCAAGCCATTGTCTATTGCACTTGTTCAATTTACAAAGAGGAAAATGAAGAAGTAGTGAACAAAGCTCTAGAATATGGAGTGGAAGGAGGTAAAGTACAACCTTACAGGTAAGGAATAGCTTTTTTGCATGTAGAAAATGTAAAATTTAGAGAGAGAATCATAAAAATACTCTCCAAGATACATTATGCCATTTTTGGTCAATTATATTGGTAAAGCACTTACCTTTTTTGGATTATAGATTTATGAAGAGTATTTTAATTATTCATTTAAATTTGTTTGTTCATTCCACTGAAATTCAAATTTTAAATTCAAGTAAATAGGGCCACTGATGTATTTCACTTCCCCTTTAATGTTTTGCTACATATAAAGGAATGCCAGATTGTCTAGCGCTCTTATGTTCACTGACCTCGCATTTTAGCTGGAAGTTTCAGTGGTTCTGTCTTCCAGTATTCTAATATTATAAAAGCCTAAATCTGGCTGTCTGTCTGTAATGCTTTATTTGTGCTGTGATTGGCTGACAAACAGCCAGACAGAGTGCAAAGAAGTGTTCTGACGGAAGGCAGCCTGCCGCTATGATGGCGGGGGACATGGGGGATGGAGCGGGGTTGGCGGGGAAGGGAAGCCGGCCGGCTCTCCACCCCCACCAGTCATTCTTGACAGGCAGTTGGCTAGTATTCTAATATTAGAAAAGCCTAAGTCTGTCTGTAACGCTGTATTCACACGCTGATCGACTAACGGGAACAGCCAGTCAGAGTGCTCCAAGTATAGGGGAGCGCTGCCATGATTCTGAAGCCACGCTGAGGACCAGACAGGGGGTGGCCTGGTCCCTGCAAGAAGCAGAACAGCGGCAGCATGGGGCGTTAGGGGGTGGAACTCCATCCCAGCCCCCCGCCCCCACCCCACCATCAGTCTTGACAGGCAATTGGCTAGTGTTCATATAAATATATAAGACTTGGTTGTCCTGTCTGTTTATTCCGTGGATCTGGGAAGTGACTGTCTGACTTCTGCAAACGTGCTGAGATTCATGTAGGTTTTGAAACTAGTTTGTTTTTAGAGGATTGCTTTTCCCATCTCATGTCATGGGCATAGTGAGATAACCTCCACTTCCTTTTTCCTGACACAAAACAGAATTTAAATGCTGTCTCCTACTTTTTTTCATTCCCATGAGAGAATTTAACCCATACTACATACTGAGGGGAGCCCTTAAATTGGTTTAAATGCAGTTTAATCCTGAAGCAGACAGGCTTACAACCATGTCAGTTTAAAACTTCCTGGAACAGTTCAAAAGTGTACCTGGAAAATGAAAAATGTTGACACAGTTCACTGCACGGTGGATTTGATTTAAATCAAATCTATTTAAATCACTGGGTAGGAAGCCTCGATTTAATCATTATCTACAAAAGGTGCATTCTTGTTGTTTGATATCCTTTTATTCATTTAACTTCATGAAACTTTGCACTTTCAGAGAAAGGTAAGGGCTTGACTATGTGTACACAAACT